ATATTTGCATTGAAATAAAAAAACCAATTTCTTTCTAAGGGGTGTTTCACCCCTTAAAAGCGCGAAGTGGCACGAATTTTAGCTTAATTTTTGGTTTTGTCTAGAGAATAACATATCAAAAGCTCATCGAAATCGGAGGCGGACATTTGGGTCTCTTTTCTTGTAAGTACAGTCGCGTTTCTAAATGCCTTGAAACGTTTCGTAGCCTGCGGAGGAAAACGTGCGAATATTTACTCTGACAACGGGACTAATTTTGTCGGAGCTAATAATGAATTACAAGAACTCGTACGATTGATTCAAAATGCTGATCATCAACGACAAGTTCAGGAATTTTTAGCGGAGGAAGCAATACAATGGCATTTCCTGCCGCCTTAATCTCCACATATAAGAGGGATTTGGGAGGCCGGTATTAAATCCGCCAAGACAAGGTTGAAGAAAGTACTAGGGGATGCTTTTTTAACATTTGAAAAGTTTTATACTCTATACTGATTACCGAGACTGAAGCTTGTGTAAGAAAAATCCTATTAAGAGTTAGCTTTGAATTCCTCGTTTATTAATACAAGATGTTTCAGCCACGAAAATCGCTTCCTCGATCACACTCGTTCTAGATTTTACTCTACCGCCCTGCCTCACGTCTATACTACAGCTTGGATGCACAGCTTCTGCCTCGTACTCGCGGTCCACTGTCCCTGTAGCGGCTGGTGCCTCTAGCGCTCTCCTATAATTGGCCCTTCGCTCGGCTTCTTCTCATTGGCGGCGAGGCGTCTAGTATCTCCAAAGACCCCGGGAATTTTGAATGCGACCGAATTCCGATAATTTTCTTACACTTGTTTTAACTCTCGCCCGCTAACTCCTATGTCTAACGATCCGACAGATTTGACAGCCTTAACACCCGATCATTTTTTGATCGGAGCGCCTTTAACCGCTATCCTCCAAGCCGATTTATCAGATGTTTCTACGAATCGTCTCACGCGTTATCAATTGTTGATTCGACTTCGACAACATTTCTGGACATGTTGGAGTCACGAATATTTGTCTCAACTCCAACTTCGGCGAAAATGGAAAACCGCAACCGCGGAGAAGAATAAACCAGCAGTTGATATGTTATAGTAATACTTAAAGATGATCATACAGCCCTTCTCAAATAGAAGTTGGGGCGTATTTCTCAGATACATCCGGATTCGAGCGGACACATTAAAGTAGTAAGTGTAAAAACCGCTACGAGTATTGTAAAGCGACCTTTGACGAAAATTTGTTGATATCTTACCCATTTCCTGGTTTATCTTTCACATTCTTAAATTTCATTTATTATTTTGTTTAGCAGCGATGGCCTTGTATTCTTGTTTAATTGATCGGAACTACGTTACCTTATTCTAATTACTTTAATTTTTTGTTTGTTGAAAATCATATAAGATTGTTCAAGGTGGGCGGAATGTTTAAGTCAAAATTCCTAGCGTTTAGTTTAGAGAGGGCGCGATCGTAGGGGGGCTTCTTAGAAATAGAGAGAAGAAGGAGTGAACAGTAGTATGTATTAAGATGGTGAAGAAAGCAGATATAGATTTTCTCAATAAAGAGATTTTATGCGAAAGAGCGAAGATTTATTAATCTCAACGGAGATTTGACCCAAAATTGAGAAGCGGAAACACGGTCATATATTTTAAATAAATATAATACACACACACACACACACATAATGTTTTCTGAATTATATTATATGTATAATTAAGTACAATTATATGTAATTGTATATATATAATCATTAATTCTAATTATATATAATCATATACGAATCAATAATTTTATTGAATCATAGAACGTGGGCGTGCAAATAACTTAACAGAAATTTTATATATGCAATTATATATTTTAGGGACAATGATTTATATATGAAATCAGTAATTCAGCGTTTACTTCATTGGTTAAGGCTGCGTTCCCATTACTTTTCAGTACAGTATTAGCCGCCATATTGTTTTACTGGAGAAGCGTTCCCTTTCACCAGTAAATAGTTTCAGTAAAAACATAACCTCCAAATCATGCTTTGGCCGCTTGCTAGCAAATATCAATATAAGTAGTGCAATTTGCAAATAAGAAGATTTATTTTATTTATGTTATTTTTGTTATATATTTTTATTAGTTATTGCTATTAATTATTTTCATTGTTGGCGGCTGATTTCCTCTTAATTGATAATAAAAATTCCAAATGAAAAAAAGTTTATTCCTAATGAATTTATAACAATTATTTTTTTTCTAATTATTTAATCAATCTAATTACAGAAAATGACAGAGAAATCTCAAAATAACGGATCAAGTATAACAAACAAAAATACATATAGACATACTCACACACATGTGCAGCACTCTTCAGGATTGTTTGCAATCATATTTTGGCTGTCATATTATATTTACTATTTTAAATTTTAAAATAAATTCAAATTTAAAATCAACAAAACATTAAAAGATTTGAGTAGAATCTAATTGCCTATATCGCCAAATTGACTAATTTAATATAAAATTTTATGATTAGTTGGTGCAGCAGAAAAACTATAAGCACCGATCTCTATGAGTGATTGATCACTTTATCGCTGGATTGGTTCTAAAGATTATCATCTTTTTCTCTTTTTCTAATATGAATTTTTTAAATATTAATTTTCGTAAATATTTATTCACAATGTATTGTAAATGAAAAATAATTATATATTATTGTTATTCGTGTTGTATACATGTCTCAGAGACAAAAAGATATCAAATACGAATCAATTATAAAAAGCATAAAAATGGAAAAATTGCATAGATGTGTCTCAATTGACATATATAATATACAGGGTGGACCATTTTAATCCATCCAGTCGAATATCTCTTAAAGTAAGCGCTATACAACAAAATGTTTCAGACAAAAGTTGTAGGGTTTCGAGGGGGACATAAGATGATAACATTGGTTTGATCCTGAGTGGCGTCAATGTCAGAACAAGGTCACTTTGAATTTTTTAAATGGAACCCCCAATTTTTTATTACATGTTTTTATAGCACGCCTCGAGAACTTTCCAAAACACATAAATAAAATATTTTTTTATAAAATAAATCTTGAGTTATGAAGCTTAAAACTTGGAGATCGGAAGAGCACACGTCTGAA